AGAGAGAGAGAGAGAGAGAGAGAGAGAAAGGGAGAAACAATGATGGGAACTTTAAAGACTTCTTTCTCTATCCTAGTACAATGAGATGAATGCCTTTCATTAAAGACTGCAATATATTTATGTCTCAAAGTTATTTAACCATGTACTACGGTTTTATATATTGATTTGCTTTGTGTATCTTTCTGTTCTAGAGTTTCTGTGTCTAAGCACAATATCTCCACACTGTGCTGTACTGCTGCTGAACTACATGCATTTTCCCTATATGTGGGGCACCAGACTCAAACAATTCAGTTCAGTACCATTATTTTTTTTTCTTTCTTTCTTTCTTTCTTTTTTTTTTTTTTTTTTTTTTTTTTTTTTTTTTTTTTGTTAATCGAGACAGCCGGGGCTCGAACTCACAGAGCTCCATCTACCTATGCCTCCTGAGTGCTGGGATTCAAGGCATGTGCCATCACCACCCAGCTACCCAGCTAGTACCTTTACTTTTAATATCATCTTTCCTTTGTTGGCATGTAGTGATTCAGTTAAGAAAAGAGACACATTGCACAGATGCTGTTGGTAGTTCCATGGAAATGATGTAAGATGCACATGCACTATTTGATTGATAAGACTTTATTTTTCTTTCGGCTTTTAAGACTAGCAAAACTGTAAATATGTGCCACTTATGTAGTACTCTTATTTTTGGTAGTGTTGGTTTAAGTCAGTTTAATTATTGAGGAGACCCACAAAATAGCTACATCTCAAATGCCACCCTAAAATACACTTCTCATATAATGAATGATTATTACATGTAATTACATAATTCTGCTTGTTTCTTTTGGTTTGTTTTGTACCCCTGCCCCATTTTATTGGGCATTGTGTTTTAAACAGCTTCTAAAAGTTAAAACCATGATGTCAAGATAAAAATTTGGACTTTTGCTTTTCCTGGCACTCAACCTTAGGACTGGGTTTGAGGTCAAATCTGTGTTTATAATTGGCAAATTGGTAAGAATCCACTAAGAGATGAAAGGCAAGCAAAGACAGAAAGCACTACTGTGCTTGGATGTGCTGTAAAACAATTGCATATTTTCACTGGAATTTTCTTCTGTAGTTTATCAGTTAAAATATTGTTTATAAAATGAATTTGTTTATTATAGTTCTACATAGAGCTAATGTATATGTGTGTTTTTAAAACAAATTTCATATCCAAGTGTACTTATATATTAAGATTATACAACTTAAATTTTAGAGGTAGTGCTCTAGTATCTTCTCTTAGAGAAATCTAGTTTCTCAAAATGAAAATATAAAAATTATAACAATTTGGATTCCCTACATTTTTGTGTGTTTAATGCTTAAAATTTATTTAAAAAAATACAGATGATCTTCTCATACTTATAATATAATAGGCATATAATTGAAGTTCATTTATTTTGTTTTCTTTCCTATGACTAAAAATTCCTTTAGGTCATGTTATAATTTTATTAGTATAGAAGTAATAAAATATAAAATGATACAACTTGAAGATTCTTACTTTATTTTGGTCTTTGGACTTTCTGGGGACAAGATTCTGTACTGTGTGTACTTCAGGATAGCCCGGAACCCTTTATAGTCACAGGCTGGCCTTGAATTCTCATGAATTACACCTTGGCCTCCAAAGTGCTGGGATGGCATAGTGAACTACCAGAGTCAGCTGGTTCTAGCTGGGTTTGCTTCTAATTTATACAAGGTCTCATGTGTTCAGACTAGCCTCAAGCTGAGGATGACCTTGAAGTCCTGCCCCCCCCCCCCCTCAAGTGCCAGGATTTCAGGTCAGGCTACCATGCTCAGTTTATGTGGTTCTGGTAAGCCAACCCAGGGCCTTGATTATGCTAGGCAAGCACTCGACTAACTGTGCTACATCCTCAACTATATTTGGTAAATAATTATTAAACAAATGAAAATTTACTGGAAATGCATCTCCTAAAGTCACAAATTACATACTTTATTAGATAAAGACGTACTATCTAGCCGAGAACATTTTCTATTTTATTAAATATAACAAGTGTTAAGGTGTAGGCTGATAACATTACCTTAAAGGCATTCTCGGGACATTCAAAGGACTAATGGGGAGTGTGTATTGGAAAGTGCATGGTGTTAGATGGAATTCAAGCAACTAACGTCAAGCAAACCAGTTTTGGTAATGTGTGTGTGTTGAAGCCGAGGGCCTGGAATTAAAAATTACTTTAAAAAATAATCATCACTTATTCTCAGGGGTAGAAATTATTCGTCTGAGGACCATAATCACAGGCCAATGTCAACTCCTATTTAACTGTAAGAAAACATTAGTTTCTCTTTTTTTAGGGAAAAACAAACAGGACTAGGCATAGAAAGTGCGGCGAGCAAGGCTCAGTGTGCTCTCTTCTGTCCGCGCTGCAGTGACCACTTGATAGCCCGCCTCGCTGTGCAGGTCACTGATGGGAGGAGTCAAATTTGGCTTCTTTCGAAAGAGGAAAGGTCTACCCACAAGCCGTAATAACTACTTGTAACTCCCAGAGGTACTGACGGTAAAGTTACATGAGAGGGAATAACCGGCCTCCCTCCAAAAGCAAAATCTGGAAAATCGGATTATGCTTGTTACTACAGAAAAGTTTAAGAGGCCCTGAAAGTTCGTCTCCCTTTATTCACCAGCAACTAAAAAGAAAAGAAGTGGTCATAAGAAAAATAAATAAACTCAACTCGGGATGAGGATCGCTAGAAAAACTCCTTGGGTTGGGGGCAAATCGCAAAAGGTGACTGGAACAAGACATGGTATTGTGTTCCTCCTCCATTCTGAAAACAAAATTTACAAATCACGAACACTTCACACCAGGGGCCGGGCCGTGCAAGGACGCTTCTCGGTGGTGCTCGGCATCAGACCCCAGCTCGCCCTTCTCCCCCTAGGCGCAGGGCCCCGCCCAGCCCCAGCTTCCAGCAGCACGCAGAGTCCCGGCGTCGCCTGGTACCAGACCGAGGACACTGTCCGGGCCAGAGGGTGAGAGTCCGCACCGCTGGCGCGGCTCGCAGGGTCGCCACAGCTCGCGAGGACTTACCGCGCCTCCGTATCCCGGGTAGGCCATGACCAGCCGATCACGAGTCACGAGCCACCAGTCAGTCGGCGTCAGCGCCGCGGCGAGCAAGGCTCAGGTGTGCGACAGGTGCAGAAGGTCGGCTCGCAGTGCCGCGCACCTCGGCTCCCCGGGAGCCGGCTCCGCCTCCGGGGCCCCGCCCCTGCCCGAGTCAAGCCCCGCCCATCTCGGCTATGATTGGCTGCAGCCTGTCTCATGGATTCCAGTGCCTCTCTCTAACTGGCTCTTTCAAGTTCTAACCAGGAGCCTCCTCCGCAGTCATTTCCCCACCTCCCTGGAAAGATTCTCTAGACCCCTCCACTCCTAGAGTTTCTTTCCTCCGGAAAAACCCCGAGCCGGCCAGTCTGTGACTTCTTTTAACCTATTTAACCTTTTAACGCTCTTTTGACCAGGTAGTTAGTTACAACTTGGCAATTACTTGCAGTTCCATACAGTGTGGCAGCGGCATCAGAACTTTGAAACCATGGCCGTTTAGCTATGCCGCATTTGATGCCTAATGTGAGAAAAGGTTATTTGTAATTTTGTAGTGGTGGCCGCAGTTGCCAGAAGTAGCCAATAAAAATAGAGGGTATCTCGTTGAATCTGATTTCTGAATAGATTTTTAAAATCTTGTGTGTTCCAAATACTGCGTAGGAATACACTTGTTTTGTTTTTGTTTTTAGAATGCTGTTTACATGCCTAGGATGCATGGGGTCTGCCGCTATTTGTTAACTTTATCCGTGATTCGACTTTTGAGCAATCTCTTAGGACGTGCTGCCTGGTTATAAACATCAAGAGAACATCCTGGTTTTTATCATTTGATAAAAAAGCAACAACCAGCTTGTTTTTCTGTGAAACTCAGGAATTTTGTGTCTCCGAGTCTAGAATTCAGAAGAACAATGCAGCTGTTAGAATCAGCTTACAAAAGGATGGAGTTGATACCATTTCTCTTTCTTTCTGAAAAAGGAAGGTCCTAACATTAAAAAATAAATAAGACCATCAAAAAATGTTAAGTATGAACAGAGGAAATCAGCCTTGCAGGGCTGAGTAATTTAACAATTGCTCTGCTGTACTAAAGCGGAAGAACATTCTGGACCTTGTGAAACTATTTTATCAGAAGAGGCAGAAAGAAGCCAAGTTGCTAACATCCACCCTACTATTGAGAAAGTGCCAGTTTCTGCAGCTAATACTGGGATATATTAAAAGAGAAGTAGAATAAAAACCTGCTTGATAAGATGAATGAGTGTGACTCACTGGGTACCAACTGATTAAACTGTTAGCGGAAGAAATCCATGCCAAGTTTTATTCTAATTGACAAGCTGCATATTCAAAGTGCTTGGGAGGGTAATTTGTAGTTAAAACACTGATCCAATTTTAAGATCAGAATTCCTTTGTACTTTTTATTATCAAAATAGTTTCACTGATGCATTCATTGTCTTTCTTTATGCTGGGAGTCAGATCTCCACAGGTCTGTTGATTTCTTCATGTCTACTTTCAAAGACAGTACCAGTGCCCCAGGATAAAATTTGGATGAGTTTGCTAACAGCCCTTTTAAAGAGACTACCCCTACCTAACCACAGACTTCCTCCAGTGTGATAGCAAGCCCACTGCTTACGTAACTGAGCGCTCTCTGGGAGGCTCCCACGGATCCAAGGGAGCTTTGCCCAGGCTCCTATTGTACTTTGGGTAATGAAGTCCTTTGTCTCCGACCCAGGCATCCCAGGCCACTGCCAACTTGTATGAAAACTGGCAAGCTTGTTGTTAGCTTGTAAGTAGGACAAAATACCAAATCCTGATAATGTATCTTCCTTAGAGAAAAGGGGTGGAGATAGATACAGAAAGGATTTTCAAACACCACAGCCTGCAGCAGGCTTTCTAAACGCAACATTTAAACTACAAAGTTTCCATTGTTATAAACTATGTTTTGGAGAAACTCACATTGGCCCACAGATTTTTAAAAAACAATAATGTCTCCATGATTTAGTTAGCATTGTATAGGCAATGGTGTTTTATGAAGATTATATACATATATATTTAAATATCAAACAATATGAATATATATATATATATATGAAGCATTTGGTAACTTTACCAAATATAGATGTGTGTGTGTGTGCTTTAAAGCACATGCTTTTCTTTTCATAAGATGTTCGCTAATCGTCAATATGCTTTCTGTGTAGATTAAACAACAAGTAACAGGCACTGTAAGCTGTGAAGTCTTATTCTTCAACACAGGACAACATCAGGCATGTACTGTCTTTTTTCTCATTTACTAGAGCGAAAAGGAAGGTGAGTTGTAATTTCACTTACCCACAGCTGCAGAGCTGGTATCAGCGATGAAGGTAAAATTCAGACAGTTTGCCTATGTGGTCTCCTAATTTTTCCCTTCCCTCTGCCCCTCCAAACTATAACACTTCAAAATGTAACAAAAAGTATTTACAGGAATAAAGAAAAGAAAAGATTTGAAGAATATAGACAATGACAGTAGTTGGTGGCCCACGCCTTTAATGCAGAGGCAGAGGCAGAGGCAGGAGGATCTCTGAGTTTGAGGCCAGCCTAGTATAGACAGTGAGTTCCAGGACGGCCAGGGCTACACAGAGAAACCCTGTCTCAAAATACAAAAACAAAAACAAAACAGAAAAAAACAACAAAAAACAAACAAATAAAAAAATAATGGCAGTAGTAAAAATAACTAGGCAAACAAACAAAAAAAGGAAAAGAAAACAGTACTTTGACCAAGGAGGAAAATCAGCCTCCAAATAATCAATCTAACCACTTCTCTAATATAAGATACATGTTTCCTGGTGGCCATGGCGTTCACATGATTACAGTAATCTAGATGATCATGTATGATAGACTACACTTCTAATGCCAAGGAGACAGAGACAGGCAGATCCTGGGGCTGGCTAGTGGGCTAACCAAACATAAGAGGCGAGCTCCAGGCCAGTGTAAAACTCTGTCCCAAAAGGGCCGGGGGGCACTGACTGAGGAGGAGTACCTAGGTTGTCCCTTAGCCTCCTCATGCACAGCTCACCCTCAGGTCTGCCACACACCCACAGCACACATGCATGAAGGAGGGCACGTGCGTGCACGCGCGCACACACACATACGCATACACACAGAGCAAGACTTACTGATAATTTTGAACTTCCCATGTAATTGTGCATTGAAGACTGAAGAAGGAGCTGTTTGTTTTAGATAGGGCCAAATCAACAGTCAACACTGGAATTGTGAGGTCTGAGCATCAGTGAGAACAAGAATATACTGTGTTGGGTATACTGTTGAATTTAGACCGCTTGGAGCGACAATTTAGCAGGTGAGGGTGACTTCCAACTACCCAGTCTCCTAATGGACTCTGTTATTCTCCTCTTCAGATACACTACCTGTGAGAAAAGGCAGAGAACTGTATTTTTTAAGGAGAGGGGACTTCTCTAAAATGGCCCTAATAATGAAAATGAATTGTTAACTCTTATAATGGAAAGAAATGAGATCTGCAAAATTATTGACTTTTTGGCATTATTGCCCATAAAAATAATGAACAAGAAAAACAGCACTGTGACCTGGTAGGCTGAAAGTATAGCCTGTTAGATATGCAAAGTAATTCTGACAACTTTTAAATCTATGTAGAACTTGAGAGATTACACACACAGCAATTCTGTTAGCTCAGGCTTCTGTGGAAATAGATCCAAGCCTTGTGGATCAAATAATAGGAATTCATATCTCATTGTTCTGGAAATTGGCACTTTCAAATCAAGATGCTCTGGGGACAATGGTGAGTGATAGATTGATCCTTGAGTTGCAGAAAGCAGTTTCCTCCCTGTGTCCTAACATCACTCAAGTTTAGTGAGTGAGAGTGGAAAGAGAGGAAGAAATTTCCATCAATTCTCTTCTTATAAGAGTACTAACCCAACAGGGGGTCCAATCTTCATTACCCATCTAGATAATTACCTCTAAAGACTCAGTCTCCAAATGCTATCACTTTAGGGCATATGATTTAAGTTACATGCATTTGAAAGGGGATACAATTGAATCTGAAACACACAAAACCTAAAAATTGAAGAAGAGACCCTTAGTTATAATTTCTACTGTTATATTGTCGCCCTGGCTCCACCATGCTGTTTATTTACATTATGCTAAAGGTCACTCTCATGGATTTCTTAAATATGTATGTATGTGTACACACAATTGTGCATACTTTAGAAATTAATCCACATAATTTTATGTACTATTGGACAATACAAACAACACTATAAAATGAGGCCACTCAGTTACAATTTTATTAGATGTTCACAATGGCTTTTTCCAGCAGCTAAATAAAGGTTACTGTCCACCAGTGAAGACAGAGAGAGAAAAAAAAGCCCCATTTTCCATTTGTTATGTCAACCAGCCACTTGAAAACTGACCTTTCTAGAGCAAAGCTTTCAACAACAGTTTTCTGCTTCTAATTCTAGTAATATTAAGTACTGTGTTGGCAGAAGCACAAACTTTAAAGCAATTTAGCAAATCGTGCACATATGAGAAGTGTCAACAGGGCTCCTCACAAGGCTTCGGAATACACACATCCTGCCTCGGTTATTTAGCCCTGTTAAGCAATTTGGATTCAATGCAAACTCTTGAGAAATATTGATCACAATATGTGTATACAACTAAGCCGCAACACTATAATTAGTAATCCTCAGAATGCGATCTGCTGCCTGAGCAAGACAGGAAACATATCTAGGGGAACTTTTAAGTCCAAGCTGCACGCTTGTGAATATAGATTGTTTGCAGATGCTGTACCTTCCTACACTGGCAAAACTGAGTCCATAGAACCATGTAAGTTAAACATGTTTTCAAGTACTTGTGCTCATTTGTTAGTGATTTGCTTATGATTAAACAAGTCAGTACACCTATACAGAAACATTAAAACCTGTTCTGATTCTTAAATAGATTATGAGCAGACTTACAAAAACCTCAAGCACTGTGTGAGGCATGTGAAAAAAGATCACCCCAACTTTATAGGACCCCTTAGTGGGAATAGCCAGGCAATAAGAATAAATTAATTGCAACCCACTTATTAATATAGCATTCAATGACCATTTCAGCCATGTGTGCTTTGTCCTGTTTGACCTTTACATAGCCGTCTTGTGAAATGAATAGACCTAGT